GAACCAGCCCCCTGTCCAAAGTTCACACTGTTAAAAATCAATATTTTCACATCAAAAGGAATGCTGACAAACCGCTTCATTTCTGGAAAGCCATAAATAACTCTGTTGTACAAAGCACGGGCACGGTCAATTTCTTGGTGGCTCCATTCTGATCAGCTGGCTAATCTACAACAAGCTTTGGGATCCAAGGAGGATTCCCTATTATCTGCTGGGCTGGGATTCTGGATGACTAAGAAGGGCTTCTCACCTTAAGTGCAAAGTGCCATCTGTTCATTTTAGCAGAAGGAGGGTTCAACCTAGAATCAGGGCCCTCCATCCAAACCCTGGGCTTTATCACTGCCTAGTCATATGGCAAGGGCCTCCTCTAGGCCTATTCCTTCTCCCAAACGGGGATAAAAATGCACTCTGTCATGGTGTGGTGAAGGGGCCTAAATTCATAGTTTACGGAAGTTCAGAGAACCTCGTGCGAATCTCAGCCTTGTCACTAATTAGTTAGGGAGCATGGACATACTTCCTTTCTTTACAAAACAAGGAAGGTAATATGCTGTTATGGGGTGAAAAGAGCCCCAGCCTCAGTGTCAGAAATCCGAGTTTCTTCCACTTGTGGTGTGACTTTGGGTAGATCACTTGTTCTCCCTCTGAGGTTCCTCCTGAAAAAGGACAGGGCTGGACTACAGCTGGAGGTCTTCATCCTTTTTCTGTCCTGGACCCCTTTGGCAGTAAGACTGGGGAAGCCTAGGGACCCCTTTTCAGAAGAATGTTTTTAAATGCAAAAACAAAATGCAGAGGATTACAAAGGAAACCAATTCTAGTGAAATACAATTATCAAGTTCACAGATCCCAGGCGAAGAACCCCTTTCACTAAACAGTGTTGAGGGGCCCTCCCAGGTCTGGATCCTCTGAACTCTACCTCCTGGGAGTCATTGTGAAGTGCTTGATGAATCTGAAAGCTCAGCAGAAATGCACATTGTTGCCCCCGACTATCATTAGCACAAACATCCACTTAGAACTGTGGAAAGGGGTCCGGTTTCTCATTCTCACCCTGGGCCGACCAGGACTCCGTTTCTGACCAACTGGACTTACTAGACAACACAAATAGGAAAAGATCTAGGCATTTGGAGAATGTTTCCAGATTCTTCTCTTTCCAAATCCTTTCTCCACAGAGCTGCCAAAATAACCTTCCTAAAGTGTGAGCATTTACACTTTGGAAGTTGGAAAACAATACAAATTGAGGCTTATGGCTTGTTTTACTGTTTTGTTGATTGCCTAGACTTAAGTGATGGAGAAAATGCGAATTAAACTTAAAAGTGTGTTCTTCAAACTTTTCTTTTTCTGGAGAGCCAGTTGTTAAATACTCACAAGCATATTACTGGTAGTATCCCTCCAGTAGACTATAAGGACTTATTCCTTCTTCCATCCTTTTAAGGCTCACTTACGAAGCATCTTCTAGATGCAAAGTTCCATATACGCTAGGACTCGGTGAAACAAAACTTTGCATCCAGTAGGTTCTTCATAAATTCGTCCTGAATGAATTGGGGGAAGGAATAATAAAGGAATTGAATGCATTGAGGGAAAGCACATCTATTCCCACAGTGTGGTGCAGTGGAAAGTGCCCTGGATGGGCCGGCAAAGCTGGGTTCTGGGCCAGCTCTGTCACTAAGTAGTTGGAAGAGTTCCTCCCCCATCTAAGTTCTCAGTTTCCCCAGCTGTACAATGAGAAGATTGGCCTCTATCAACAAGTTCCTTTCCAACTCTATGAGCTTGAGGTTCTGACTCTATTTTTAGGTTTGGGGTAATGGGTTTGCTGAATCTAATCCCTTGATAAGCCTCGAGGGCAGAACCAAAAGTGTGGAGTGGGTGTTGAGCAAGCATTTGAAGATGGACCCAAAACTAAGCCCTTTCTGTGGTCACATTGATCTAAATGTTCCTTTCATTTTAGGAAGACTGCACTTTACTCATGCCCGCTTATCCTGTGTGATGCACACATGTCTTGTCTGTATCATTGTTGTTGTTTTTTAATTTAATTTTATTTTTAAAAGTTTTTGAATGTTTTTGTTTCTCACTCCCATTCTTCTCCACCCCACCAGCTTTTCCTTGTAGCAAAGAAAAATAGTTAAGCAAAACTAACCCATGTAGAGACCCATTTGACAGCATATATAATATTCCACACCCACAGTCCCCCATCTCTACACAAAAGAAAGATGGTTACTGCACATACTCTTCCAAATAGTTTATCATAACCCAAACCAGATCAGGTTACCCTTTCTTGCTGGCTGGTTTCATGACAAGCTTCCTTGGGTCATAGCTGCTAAAAACACATGGGCTGCTCGCAGAGGGCAGTGCCCACAGAATTGGGTGTGCCATCCTGTGATTGAATCCATTATTGAACCAGGAACTTTGAGGGGGAAACTAGGAATTACAGAAATAAGCAACGAGGTAGCAAATAACAGAGTGAGAATTCACACCTAGGTCTTCTGACCCTAAATCCCATGCTGTTTCCACTACCCCCTGCTTGCACATGGAGGTAGGCTGTGGTGGTAGAAATCCTCCTCCCCTCTAGAGGAGATTTAGCATTGTGTAGCAGAAGGAGCACTGGGGCTTGGAGTTAGAAGTTCTGCCTTTGATGAGTGATAGCATATGTGTGTGTGACTGGAAGGTGACTTCACCAAAAGGAAGATAATTTTTGCCCCCATCTACCTTATCAGATTGTATGGAAAACTTCAAAGTGCTGTAAAAACAAGAACAGTTATTTTGAGCAAGTCGTTATCATTTCCTGGGCCTCAGTTTTCTTATCTGGAAAATGGACTAGAATGCAAGGCATTGTGAAGAGTGCTGAAACTGAACTGGGAGACGTGAGACGTGAAATGGAATCAGCTTTGCCACTCACCTTGGGCAAATCACTTTACTTTTCTGGGTCTTGGTTTCTTTATGTATAAAATGAGAAGGTTGTACTCCATTACCTCTGAACTCCCTTCCAATTCTAAATCTGTAATCTTCTAAACTCTAAAGTCACTTGCTATCATAATTTACGTTATTATGGTAAGTCCTAGTTCTGATGATCTTAACAATTTCCCCCAAAAGGTAATCTACAAATGCCCATAGGGGTGATGTTGCTTCTCTTCAGTTGGACAAGGATTTATTAAAGGCACAGTATGCAGTGTGGGATTCAGAGATAAAAATGAAAAACCGCCTCTGCCCTCAAGGAGTTTATGTTTTACCAGAGGATAAGATGCAACATAATTTGAAGAGGGAGAGAGGAATAATGCTAGGGAGAACCAGGAAAGGTGGCGCGTGAGCTGAATCTTGAAGGAAGCTAGAGATTCTAAAAAGCAGAAATAAGGGAGTACATGCCTGGCATGGGGAACAGTCATACAAAGGATGCACAGGATGGAATGCCACATTTGGGGAAAAACAACTAGATAGTCTTGGACAAAATATAAAAAGTGTATGAAGAAGAGTTATGTGGAATAAGTCTGGAAAGGGAGGGAGGCTACAGTCAGACTGTGAAGGGTTTTAAATGCCAAGCTGAAGGGTTAAACATCGAGCCAGTGCAGTTTCTTGAAGCAGGGGACTGAATTGATCTGACTGGTGCTATAGGGAGATTATTTGGGCAGCTGTGTGGAGGATGGATGGGAATAGGGAAGACAGAGAACAGGCAGGCCTGTTAAGAGGCTATGAGAGTAGTCTAGATGAGAAGTAATGACAGCTTCCAGTAGGGTAGTAGCTATGAGAGTAGAGAGAAGGGATGACGGATGGGAGAGATCTTGTATGGGAAGAGTCTTGCCAAATGAATGAATATTTGAGTATGGGCAAGTGAGGACTCAAGAATGATTCCAAGGTACTTGGAATTCCAAGGTCCCCCCAGGTAATTTGGGGAGATGACGACTTCTCTGAATGCCCAAGATGTTAGGATTGCCTTTCTTAAACTCGAGACAGTTCTCCTGTTCCCTGGGGGACAAAAGTCTCAACCTGTCATTTTCAGGTTTCTGGAGCAAAGAAATTGTTTTCCAATTCTTAAAATACTTACAACCCACCCTCACCCCACCCCCACCATACACCTGTGTTAAAGAAATCCTTCTTTATTTGTCCCTTCCAATTGTCAAACTGAATTAATTTACTTCCTTTAAGGGAAGGGAAAGGAGAGAAATAAGCATTTATATAGTGCCTGCTGTGTGCCAGGCAGTGTGCTAAGCACTTTACAAATATTATCTCATTTTGATCCTCACAACAAGCCTTCCAAATAGGTGGGTGCTGTTATTATCCCTATATTTTATTATCCCTGAGGCAAACAGGTAAAATGACCTGCCCAAAGTCACACAACTATTGTCTGAGTACAAATTTGAACTCAGGTCTTTCTGACTGAGTTTTACCACCTAGCCATTTGCTTTTTTTTTTAAAACAAACAAAAAACCTTGATGAAGTTATTATATAACTAGTCTTTGTCCTGGAGAGGAAAAGAGGCACCTTTCCTTAGAAAAGTAGAATCCTATGGGTACAGGACATCATTTACACTAAAAGCTACCTTGATACGTCAGGTGGTATTGCCTTTTTTTCCCTTTTTTTAATAAGGGAAAGAAATTGCAGTGACATAAAGCCAAAAAGGTACAAATGAAATATCTTTATTTTTTAAAAAAATTTAAGAAGTCATGAGAAGATTCTTGATTGTCAGGGCCATTAAGAATCAGAGATGGAGTCTGATCCCCTTGTTTTACAGAGGAGAAAACAGGCTTCCAGAATATATCACTTGTCTTAGGTCACACAGTTAGGAAGTCTATGAAATCTGTTGGTAAAATAGAGCCCATTCTACAAACGGGAGGTGGGAAGAGGGAAATGATGTCACCAAAAAATGAAAGTGAAGAACACATTGTCATGAAGCAAGTCCCCTGACTCTTCAGCCAGCCAAGATGGGGGGGAAGGCTGGCTGAGGGACTCCCAGTTGGGGTATGAGGGATGACTACTTACATGTGCTTTTCTCTTTCTTTCTCTCCTCCTGCCTTTAGCAAACATGGACACCTTCAGCACCAAGAACCTTGCCTTACAGGCTCAGAAGAAACTCCTGAGCAAGATGGCCTCCAAGACTATGGCCAGTGTGTTCATCGATGACACAAGCGGTGAGGTCCTGGATGAGCTCTACAGGGCGACAAAGGAATTCACCCGGAACCGCAAGGAGGCTCAAAAGATCATTAAGGACCTCATCAAGATCGTCATGAAGCTGGCTATCCTCTACCGCAATGGGCAGTTCAGCCCAGAAGAGCTGGCGCTGATGGAACGCTTTCGAAAGAAGGTCCACCACCTGGCCATGACAGCGGTCAGCTTCTACCAGATAGACTTCACATTTGACCGTCGGGTCATGGCCACAACCCTTCACGAGTGTCGAGACCTGCTGCACCAGGCTGTCAACACACACCTGACAAGCAAGTCCCATTCTCGTATCAATCACGTCTTTAACCACTTCGCAGACTTTGAATTCCTGGCGGCTCTATACGGACCCTCTGAGCCCTACCGCTCACACTTGCGACGGATCTGTGATGGCATCAATAAGATGCTGGATGAAGACAGCATATGACCTCAGAAACTATATGAAACACAGGGGCAACTATCCTGCTCTTGGCCTTGGAGGTGGGGGAGACGCGCTCCTCATTCCTATTTCTTTTCTCCCAATCTGAATCTAGCCCAACTGACCCGATCTTCTCCCATTCTTTATGGAATAACAGGGGATTTGCAACCCACAGAATTGTTTTACTAGCAGATTTCACAGGCATCGCCTCCACCTGTGTAGGAAGTACTCTCGGGGAATGGAGGAGCCCAAGGGGGAGCTTTTTGCTTCAAAGAGCAGTGCATTTACATGGTGCGGGAGAGTTGGCCACACACTGCAGTGAACGTCCCAGCCTCTGACTTGGTCTGAGCTCTCATTCCTTTGTGTAGCTCAGGAACTGCCTTGTGGTCTTATGAGATCCAGCTGCACACACACCTCTGAAAGCCCAGTGTATGCAGTCCAAGAGCTGGCTAGGGAAAAACCTACCGCATAGGAGCAGGCCTCCTTCCCACTCACAATGTTAACAGGACTTTGGGGTTGTTCCATGCAAAGCTAGTTAGGACTGAGACATTTATTCAGCAGACTAAGGGAAAGGCCTGGGAGTGACAGTACATGCAGGTTTAGATGCCATCTCTATTTGCAACGCCTGCAAGAAAGTTCAGAAAGGTTGGTTTTGTTTCTTTTCTTTTTCTTTTTTTTTCTTTTAGGACTTACAGCTTTGTAAGAACCAGATCAGTTTAGGATATATTCTTAGGCTAAAGAAACAGCTTGCCGAGGGAAGACACATACTACTGTTGAGGAGAGACTGATGGATCATCTTACATGGCCCTTTTTGAACTCAAAGACGTACAGTTTTGTCCTGTGGTATTTTTTCCACTGTGGCTAGGACTCCCTTTTCACATGTGGGCAAAAAGCCATGACCACCCCCATCCTCATCCATGAGATGCAAATGAATCTTCTGTACTGTAGATCCTCATTTCCAGTGAGATCAGAGATGCAGCTTCAGACCAAATGACAAATGGGCACTTTGTTTATCCTAAGAGGAACCAAGTGGTTCCCAAATGACATTCTGTCCTCAGTTCCTCCAACTGACTCTATCAATATAATTGTGTTTGTTCCTTGGTCACTATCCAATCTGTCCTTAGTATTTCATGGGTTTGGGATTAAAAAAAAATTTTTTTTAAAGACAACTGACACTACTGAGCTATTTAAATAAAATCACATATCTTCTACTTGGACTGGCTCAAAACTGGTAATTAAATGACATGCAACTGGTTCGAAGTCTGCTCCCTCTTCCCTTTTGCCTCCTACATGGAAATAATGGTCCCAGCACTGCAAAAATGATCATACTCCTGTGACATTTTCTGACAAGAGCTCCCACTTCCCCCTTCCCTCAGCTTGGAGGCTCCAGGCAGTGGGAGTGTAGCCACTCTATTCCAAAACAAGGGTTCATTTCATAATGTGGTCAGCTTGGCTGTGGATTCTGAAGACCAATGCAGCTTAGGTTTATTTTACTCATCTTAAAAGCACAAGTATTCTCACACACACACACACACACACGCACGCACACACGCGCAAGCACCAGTGCAGGGGGGAGCTGGAAGAAAAGCCCGTCCATGCTGGCAAACAAACTGACTGAGGTGGTCTGTCTGGAGCTGCAAGTCCTTTTTCTACCCATGCCCCCCCACCCATGCCAAATGCCATAAGGGCACTGTCCGAACCCCACACATCAAAACAACTGAACAGTAAGTAGGCTGCTCTAAGGCAGAACGCAGAGCCCTGGATAAATCCCTGCCTGTTTGACTGGTGGGGGACCAGAGGAGAGCAGTAAGACTATTTCGTCTTCGAGGGGGACAACCCACCGCTTAGAACTTTGTTTTGTCATGTACGAATTACCCCCCTAGTGAAGGCAATGTGTCCTTGGCAGACCCAGGCTTGGCTTATCTTTTCAGCCTTTTCCCTGCTGTGAGGACTGCAGCCAGAGGCTTTTGCAAGCCTGGGCTTTGAGACGACTACAAGGTTTGGAACACGGTGCTGTTCTGCCTGTCGGATGCTTCCTGCTCCTCTGTCAGTTCACAAAGCAGATAAATTTCAGGCTTTCATGTTTCAAAGCCCAACCACCTTCAGTCTAAGTACATTTCCCCACAGATGGAGACTAATTTATATTTAACAAGGAATCTCTTTGCACTAGAATCAGTGTCGGAGCCTGAAAGGACCTCAGAGACCACCTAGTTCTACCTCCTCATTTTGCAGAGGAGGTTCAGAGACTGCCTCAGTGTCTCCCATCTAGTCACACTGCTCCCACCTTAATGCCAGTCCTCATTAGCATCCCCTAGAACTATCACATAAGCTGCTAACTGGTTTTCCCATCTCCACCGTTAGCCCCCACCCTCCTCCAAGCCATCTTTTATGCAGCTGCCTGGTTCACCAATCTGGGCATGTCATTCTTCTGTTTAAAAGCCTCAGTGCCTACCAAGTCGACACTACTTAGCCTGGCACTCAAGGCCCTTCGTGAACTGGCCACTCTATTTTTCCAGCCTCTAACAGGACAACTGTCCATAACATGGGCCCTATGCTCTACCTCCATATGCTGACCATGACGACTAGACTGTTTCCACCCCTATTACTTCCCTATCTTTAAAACCAAGTTTAAGTGACACTGCTGAAAAACCTTCCCTAACCATTATGTGGCTGTTCTTTCCTTCCTTCGACCTCAGAGAGCCCCACATTTCCGTCTTGGGCACTTAACATGTATTGTTGTTAGAGTACCTGTGGTTGTCTATTCCCCTGTAGACTGTAACCTCCATGAGGAAAGAGCCTAATTCAATTTTCCTATTTCCCAAATTCTTGAATGGAAGTGATCTGCCCAGAGTTGCTTATTGTTGTTCTTTTATTTCAGTCATGGCAGACTCTTTGTGATGCCATTTGGGGTTCACTTGGCAAAGATACTAGAGTAGTTTAACATTTCCTTCTCATTTTACAGATGAGGAAACTGAGGCAAACAGGGTTAAGAGACTTGCCCAGGGTCACACAGCTAGTAAGTGTAAGTGGTCACATTTGAACTCAGGTCTTTCTGACTCCAGGGCCAGCACTCTATCTACCAAACCAGAACTGTACAGCCAGGATAGCAGAGCTGGGCTTAGAGCCTGTTTCGACCCCAGTCCAATATGCCGTTCGTGGCCCTACGCTACTGTTCTGCACTGTGACACAGGGCGCTACATTAGTGGTGCAGATTTCCCTCATGCTCAGAATCTGTAGTTCCAATCTGATCTTCCCTCTCTCCCTCTACCCCTTATCTTGAGAACACTGATTTCTATTTAAATGCCTTTCATCTTGGAATCTAATCACCTGGGACTCTGGGAAATGACCAGAGTTCCATTTTTTCCAATGGGCAAACCAAAGATTCTTGACTGATTTGCACAGTAGGAAAACAGCAGCAAGGAGATGTAGGAAGAAAACCCAGGAGTCAAACTCTCAGGCTCCTTGCTCCAGTGAGATCAGAACCCTTCTGGGTTTTTATTTGTTTATTCATTCTGTGGGTGTTTTTCTTTTTCCTTTCCCTAAACGCCAAAGGCAGTCAAGGCTTTTCATAAAATGTGATTCTTGGCTTGAGTCATGGTACTGCAACCCAGATGTAAGAAATGAAAGCTTGGAACAGCATCCCTGTGATTTATTAGTGGAGCTCTGATCAGAGGCAGTGAGAAAAGGGTGCAAGGAACTGGTACCATCCACCTTCATGGGCCACTAACCAGAACCACTTTTGTGACCATCCTGGGGATTGCTGGTTTCTTCCATCCTACAATGTGCATGTTTTGTGCTAGCCGACGCTGACTAAGGAATAGCAGCAACCCTTTCACCACAGAGAAAACTCTCTGTGCACCTCCTTTTTAGGGAAAGTGCTGGCCAGCTTAATACAAACAGCAGACTGGCCCCTCAGAGAAGAAAGCAGACACCATCAATGGACAAACCAAACCAGAATTATGGTGCTGCATGGGTCTTTGGGATGTCTGGTCCAACTTGTACCTGGTGGGGGGTGGAATCTCTTCTACAAGAGTTTGTTCTCTCTACATTTGAAGACTTTCAGTGATGTTTCCATTACTCACTACTTCTTAATGCAGGCAATTCCACTTTGTGATAGCTGATCATTTGAAGTTTTTAACTTTTTTTTTGAACTCAGGAACACCCAAGTTCAAATCCAGCCCAAGACACTAGCTGTGTAGTAACCCTGGGCAAATCACTTAACCTCTATCTGCCTCAGTTTCCTCATCTGTAAAACGGGAAAATAGCAGCACCTACCTCCCAGGACTGTTGTGAGGCCCAAATGAGGTAATGCTTGTAAAGCATTCAGCACAATGCCTGGCACGTACTAAGTGCTATCTAAACTTTAGCTGTCATTGTCATTTTCCTCACATTGAGCTAAAACCTGGTTCTCTGCACCTTGCTCCTCTGCTCATCAAGCAGAAGAAGCCTAATCCTTTTCACACGGTAGCCACCCTTGAAAACAGTGCCCGTGACCCTTGTCTCTTCTGCTCCCGGCTACACCTCCCAGCTCCTCTGACTGATGATTCAACTGCCCAGGCTGGTAGCTGGGAATGACCATTTCTCATATTAGGAAGATGGTACACAGTGACACAAAGATGACAGAGCTGGTGAAGTATCTCCATTAGGTACAGCCACAATGCCAGACAGTCTAGTCCCATCAGGGTCTTCAGGGTGTCAGAGTGCAGCTAAACTGCTCTGAACTTAAAAGGATTTTTTCTCTGGCACATCCTCCCTTACCATGAAGGCACAATTTAGGGCACTTAAATTGAGAATTTCATCCTCAAAAGGCCTTTACCCATAACAACTAGACCACCCCAAGAACTAGGTTAGTGCTTTTATTAGCTCTATTTTCTGGAAGGTGAGGGAAAGAAACCAAATGGTTTGACTTGGGAGTGTCTCTGCCAAGATGAGCGAGCACTCCAGTAGGAATGCTCAGCTCTCAGCTTCCCGTGCCCTTCCCCCCATCGAAGCTCTCCTAAGCATTGATAAATGGCTCAAGAAGCAGCCTATAAGGATAACCTGCCTGCCATCAGCACTGACCCCCCCAAAAAGCAGAAGAGGCAGCCTGCTGCAGTGGGGAAAGCACTGGACATGAAGCCCAAGACCTGGGCTTGAATCCTGGCTTGGTTTGCTGCTGTGTGACCTTGGGCAATTTACTTCTTTTATGACACCTCGTTTTAATCTGCAAAATGGAGGGACTGAACTAAGCCGTCTCTAAGGTCCTTTCCAGCCCGAAATCCTGGGATCTCATGATTCTGCATCTAGAGAGTAGGGCAAAAGCCCTGGATCTGGAGTCCAAAGACCCGGCTTGGAGCTATGGCTTTGTAAAATGCTTAGTCGAGAAACAGTCCTGGGCAGTGGAAAGAGGGTCAGTCTTAGAACCAGAGGCTCCACCTGGGTTCAAAAGCCATCTCTGCTACTCACTCTGTGTGCAAAGTTGGGTAAATGACTTAACCTTTTGGCCTCAGTTTAAAGAGGGATTTGGAATAGAAGCTCTCTTCCATCTCTAAGCCTATGTTAGCTAACATGCTACAAGGGAGTGCTGGGTCCTGAGTTAGACCATTTCCTCTGCCCTTTGGGTAACTGCTCAGACTGGACATGCTTCTACCCAAGCAATGTTAAATGCAGGAGGCACAACCCTCCTGGCACAGAGGGCTCCCCCCCAAGGCACAACTAGCAGCTTGAAGATACTGACCCCTTTGAGCAAGAAAAGCTCTTCAAAGACAGAGGCAGTTTTTAACCTTGCCCTGGTCCCCTCTTCATTTATTTGGACATGAAAGAACGTTGAATTCCCTTCACAGTCAATCTACAGGGAAATAAATGGGGTAGACGTAGGAAAATAGTCCTGAAAGTGTACTGAGAGACACAACAAGTTGGCTGGATTTTTGTTTCAGAGTCAAGCTGCCCTGCCCCTTCCTCATACCGGTGATTTCAGATCTGGCCGTGGGGAAGCAGGTGGTTGGCTCCCCCTTGTCTAGGGACAAAAAGGGCCCTGGACAGTGGCACGCATCTGGGCAGGAACACAAGTCTGCTCCTGCCATATTGAGGTGATTCTGAGGCCCTTTTGGGACCATCTGCTTTAGCTCCACCTTCTTAGGAAGCATCAAAGTAGTCTTGTTCGGAACAGAAGTACCATGAGGTACGGAAGGAAAAGCAGTGACAGGCTGTCTGAGGGCAAGCCATGGATCTCGGCCACTCCTGCTGGCCTGAAAGAGAAGCTTCGGAGCTTTACTCTCTCTGACACCTGCAGAGTCCTGGCCTTAACACCCCAAATACAGCACTGTAGACATCTGTGTGGGAAACCAAGAAAATACCCCCTAAGAAACCAGCACATGATATGGTCCCCTCTGGTCACTCCGGTAGAGGCAAGACAAGACAAACTTTGGACGAGGCTTCAGATCACAGTTCAACATGGCCTGTTCTGGCCACTAACACGATTTTGGACAGTTCAGCTCGGAATGCCCCTTGTCTGTGGGTCACTGAAAAAATGCACACATAGATAAAAATATACAATCAGAGGAGAAAAATGCAATGGCACTGAAAAAAAACCCACCCCACATTCACACTCAAGTACTTCTGAGAACACAAATGGTGGCTTAGCCATCAATTGACCCACTATGTTTCCTTGAACAAGTCCTCATCTCTGGAGGTCTCAGTTTCCTTATTTAAAAAATGGAGTCGGCATGGTTGCTAGTCTAATATTCCTTCCGGATTAAAGACTCTTATTCTCTAAGTAAAAGTGCTCTACTAATTAAGGTAAATTATTATATAGTAACACCACAATTTCTACACCTTTATCAACACACCTTCCTCACTGGAAGTTTCCTATACCAATGAAATCAAAGGTCCAGTTAAAAAAACAGAACACACTCTAATTATCTGAAGAAGGCCTCGTAAGAGAATTTTTAGACATCTGAAGCCCACTTCTTTTCACTGCCAATGTTTTTTTCAAGTTTGACCCTTTATGTGGAAATCTCATCTAAAACATATAATTTCTCTCTTCTTCCCTCTTGCCCAAAGTTCTCCTCTCCTCTCTCTGCTGTCAACTGTCAACTTCAGCTTTGCCTCTCTTAGAGGTGTGGACTTTGTGACAACCATTTCCCAATCAAAGGCCTTATTCGCTTATACTGGGCTTCCTGGCATCTGGGCCCTGAATGAGGAGTGTTTCTGACTCAAGGTCTTTAATTATAAACCTGTGCCGCCTATTGTTGGCTCTAGAATGATTGAAAAGGAAGCAAGCCCCACACACATACACCTTCTTAAGATGGAGACAAACTCCATCTTAACAGAAGCCAAGGTGGGGTTGTTTATTTGAAAAGTGACTATATGCAGAATGTCTGTAAATTTAAGGCCTAAAAGATTAGGGATTGAGGTTGTCTCCCTTGAAACTATAACTCCATACTGAAATGCCAGACATTTGAGACACCTCTGACCCAAGATAACAAATTCTGTTTGAGAACCAAACATGTGCTTTCTGTGATATCAACCTACCTCTAACCTTTTCCTTCTGTCATTCTGGCAAGTGAGCAATCCCAGGGTCTAAGACCTAATGAAAACAGGGGCTATTCCTGGACTGTACATCAGACTTAATAATCACAGAAATCCCATGGGGTGCTTTCAGGTGACAGGATGATTCCTTACAACAGTCTCATTGGTAGGGTAATAGAAGAGTAATTATTTTCATTTTCCTAATAAGGAAAACAAAGATAGGATGTGACAGTGCTAGTCTCTCAGCTCCAAGTCTAGGACTTGAACACAGCTCTCCTACCTCCGAATCCAGTCCTCTCTTCTACCACATCTGCCTTTCAAGCCCTTCTGTTTGGATCTCCCACTCTTACTCCAGATAGCCACACCCCAATCCATCACATCACTGCATCTGAGCTACAAAATCACTGAGTCACTGGGTCATAGGATTTACAGCTATAAGGAAACTTATAGATTATTTAGCTCAATCCCCAAATTTTACAGATTAGGAAACTGAGGCCCATAGAAAGGAAATCCCCGTCTTTTTTTTGTTCTTAGAGACTCAGTCTCCCTATTTTGCCCAGGCTGGAAGCACAGTGGCTCTCAAAGACCCGATGCTACTGCTGTTTGGGACAGGATCTTTGACCTGCTCTCGGGGGCTGAGCTGTGAGCTGTTGGGCTCTTCTTAAGCAGTCTCATTTCCCTTAGCCCCCAGAGCTCAGAACTTCCAAGCTCCATTGGTCCACCAGCCTCCCTCTCCCATGCAGCAGGGATTACAAGCATGTGCTACCACACCCACCTAAAATGACTTGGTTAAGGTCATATGGGTGGTAGTAAGGAAACCCATGAGGTGATTTTAATGAGACTTTCCCATAAATACTGAATTCATTATTCATCTCTCTTTCATGCCTTCCCTCTTTCCCTTCTGGCCCAACTCTCACAATTCACCTTCACTGGTCTTCTAAAGTAAATATTTACCTGCTGTGCTCGTCACTTCAAATTCTTCAGGTTTCAGGGGAACATCTGCATCTTTTCCAGTTGAAGCTGTAGACTGAAAAGAACCAATTCTAAGGTTTACCAGAGGACTCTGTACAGGGGACTAACTGTTCCATTTGCTTCGAACAAAAAAAGAGCAGTTCTTATGCCAGAGAAGCGAATGTGCTGCTGTGTACCTAAATCTACTTGAGAGACCATCAAATAGCTTAACAAGAGCTAGCTCAGCCTCGGACATTCACTGGCCAGGTGACTGTGGACAGGTCATTTCCCCTCTCTGAGGTGCAGTTTCCTCATCTGTAAAATAATGTTTTCACTGCCTCCCTCATGATGCTGCTGTGAGGATTACCCAGAGCACTGTGCCTTGATGCTCTCAGAAACGTCTGCTAGCATGGTTTTCTACGATGCTGTCAGGCCTTCCTCACAAAGCCTCCATGGAGGGGATGCAGTTTACCCACACCTATATTCCCAATGACCAAAAGAGACACGGATGTGTCAGGACCCACCCAGCCAGGGAGTGTGAGAGCCGAACCTAAATGGGGCCTGAACTGGGCCTCCTTCATTCACCCACACCTAGTGCTCTCTCTGCACACGATCAACGCTGTAACTTCTAAGTTTTTCTTTCAGTCAGTGATTTGTGAAAAGGATACGGGAAGGGCAGGCTCTGCCCCATAACGTTTATCAGCACCGCCCCACTTTCACATTAGCCAAAGACAGACAAAATGCTTTCATGGAAGCCACAGGCTGGCAGCCAGGACTAAACTCATTTCCTAATATGAGGAGCCCTGGGTTATCCCAAAAAACAATACAGAAGAGATTCTTTTCTAAAAAATAAAGTCAAACCTTTCTAACTAAACCTCTAAGTCCATTAACTCCCTAATTTAGCTTTATACATGGAAGTAAATTTCATTTGTTGACATCCCACCAATTCGTAATTAAGATAATTCTGGCATATACTGACTACAGGAAAGCCTATGAAAAAAGGGAAACATTTCACTTACTTCAGGGAACAGACTTCCTTTCCCTTTTGCAGCATCCACCCGAAACCCCAGAGCTAATTACAAATGACCCATTATCTATTCATTAAAGCAGTAACGCAGGGCCTTTACTTGGCAACTCATTTAAAACCATCTAAATGCGTGTTACTCTCTGGCTTTCTGAGTAACAAAATTGAATTTTAAACACTTTCGCAAGTCATTAATTCCGACAGGCTCCTCTGCCCTGCCTCCCATCAGCATGGGCACCTGGTTTCATGCAGCAGAAGCTTGGGCAGCAATCCCAGAACTCACAGCATTATCTCCAAATGCCCACTCTTAAGTTAGAGCCATATACTAAGACTTACATAAGCCATGCCGTATTCAACCTCTGCTCCCTGCACTTCTGCCTTAAACTGAGTAAAGAACAGGTAAGACTTCCCCTGGGGCCTGCAAAAAAAAAAAGTTATTAGAATCATTCAGAGAAGGGAATGCTGGTAGAAAATCACGGTCCAAATGCTCTGCAGCTGGCCCAGGGATCGGAAGCCTGTCCTTTTAGCATCTGAGCCTGGCTTCTTAAAACCAGGGAGAGATGGAAGCTGTCTGAACAGGTCATTGACTCTGGGCAAGAAGCATTCATGCTGCTAGGGATGAGGCCTCAGATCTCTAGCTCTCTACCAAGGGAGGGCAGCTAAACCATCCTGAAGACCAATGCCATTGTTTCCCAGCTGGATGATCCCAGGTCAGTTACTTTGCTGCTATGGCTTGGTGTCCTCATCTATAAAATGGGGATAATACCCACCCTCTCTACTTCATAGAATTGTTGCGAGGATCAAGTGAGGTAGCTCAGGTAAAATGCTTTGTAAACCCAAATGAAAGTGCTCTAGATATCTGAGATTCCTACCAGATTCCAGGCCTGGGATGACCTCAGAAACATCTGCCTGAAGACCAGCGTAGCTTAGCCAAGTGTGGAAAGGCTCCTAATGAAGGAGTTGGGAACTGCACTGGCAGAGGGAGCCCCAGCAGCCAGGAAATAACCAATAATGAAAAGAATGAGTGATATTCAATTCAGCTTTAAGGTTTATCAAGTATTTTAGTGAAAAGTTCCCATTCTTTCATACAGAATCCTGAATGCATCTAAAGCTACATTCTCATGATCTCTAAGGTGCTTATATAAAACTTAAAAGGCCCTTTGAGAGGTTACTGATCACCTGCATTTTGAGGGTAGCCAAACTAGGAAACAAAGGACAAACATGTTTCCCCTAGACCTACGGTAAGGCAACAGGAAAGTCAGAAATATAAGCCAATGCTACTCTGAAGGCACCAGCCCATGGCCTTAGCTCCCCCACGACAATGATACATTCATTTTCTTGTAACAAGAGCAGTACTCCTAAAACCTGGGCCATCCAGAACCCACTGAGACAGCCTCAGGGATTCTGCTTTGGCTAATGTAGGGAATCTAAGTCAATTAAACAAAGAGTGAGGCCCAAGCATTAGAGTTACTAAACACCTACTAAGTGCAAGCATTAGGTGAGAATTAGAAATACAAGTCTCATTTCCAGGCCTCCAGGAGCTCACAGTGGAACTGGGTAAAGAGAAGACCCTACTGTACATGAAAAGCTAACTGAAAACACGAAGCATAATTACATGTTCATGTTCTTTATCCTGGCTTCACTCTTCCGTTCACCCAAATCTATCCCCACTTTCAAGACCCAATTCCAGTCCTATCTCTTCTCGAAAGCCTTTCTGTCCACACTGCATTCTCTGAACACTTAAAGAATCGATCTCCATTCCACACAACTTAGCACCTAATTACAGCTGGCTACTGTTCTCTGCCCAATGATAGGACCACTGGAGTGTTCAAGAAAAACCAAGAAAACCGGGTCGGTCATGCATTCTTGCAGGCAAAGGATATTCCTTAGCAATATTAAGTGAGAAAAGCATCTAAGTGTTTTCTGGGTCTCCTTAACTGGAAAAGGAGGGAGGCAGAACAAATAATTATCTGAGGTCTTTCCTTGACTCCTCCCCAGCCCAGCTGTCCCAGACCTCACCCAAACTGTTCACACAGATGAGACGGGAACCACCAAGTCTTTTTCTTCCTGTCAGCTGGAGAACCACTAGGCCTCACCATCTGCTCTGCCCAGGTATCTTAAGGTCTTCTAGGCCTCAACAACGGCCCTGCCTCTAGGTCCTCAAGATCACTTTACTGTCACCTGAACTGGTACCCATAATCCCAGGGTGCTTGGGCCTTGCTGAGGCTGTACCTGTAGTCCACCTGCTCCTCGTTGTCTCTTCTCTCCTAACTACAATGTAAGCCCCCTGAAAACAGGGAGTGTTTCCTTTTTCTACTTGCACACCCAGCACTCAACACAGTGCTTGGCACAAAGTAAGAGCACAATAAATGCTCTTTTGTTCCCTCATTCAATGTCCTAAGGTCCCTTCCCAGCTCTGACAACACCCTGTATTTTGTGTTCCAAGGCTGCTCCTTCTATAGCTTTCTATGACTCAACCATCACCACTGCTGCTGCAGCTCCTGCTTCTTTTACCTAGCATTTTAAAGTTTGCAAAGGACTTTATGAACACTATTATTACCCCCATTTTACAGATAAGGAAACTGAGGCACAGAGGTGACGTGATTTGCCTAGGGCCACATAGCCCTGCCAATGTCAGAGGCAGGATTTGAACCCAGGTCATGCTGACTCCAAGCCCAGAGCTGTAGCCATTATGAGTTCTAAAGGAGCCAGAGGACAGATAAAATAACAGTGAAATGACTGAACTTGCCTCCAAATGATGCAGGTGAGGAGTCGGCTGTCATCACTGAGGTCCAGGCTCATTTGCCACTGCTGTGAATGGAAGACAGTTTAAGTCTCATGATGCTTGTAAATGGAAAACATCTCACGACTTTTTTCTACTTAAAACTGCTTTGAGGCCCCTGAGCAACAGTAAAATGTTCTAACCCAGGCACAGCATCAAACAAATCCAGGAAAGCTCTCCCCGCTTTTAGAAAATTACCTAAGAAGGAACCTGACTCGCTGACGAAGCATGTGAGAGACGCCTTCGTCAGTAAAGCTCCTGTGAAAGGGGCAGCATAAAGACGCCCTCTCTCCCAAAGAGGAAGGATGGTCTAGAGAAGGGACTTCTCCTTGCTTATAGGGCCTTGATACTGGCTGCCCTCTGTACACCGAGGGCAGCCTCACCTCTCTGCACTCACGATGTCAGGTATTTGTTCCTGCTGACTTTCATTCAGTAATGTTCAGGTGGTGAACACAGGTGTAAATGTAACCTCTGGATGAATGGAGGATTTTGGTAGCGTAACAGTAATTCAATCAAGTTAGCAGTCAGTTGCCAGGCCTTGCCAGCTCTTGCCAGCTCTCCCTTCACATCTCCTCCCCTCACTTAGTGGTCACCTCCTGTCTCACCCTCTCCCTCCTGCCACAGACATGCCCTCATCACTTCTCATCTGCACTAGAGCAACGGCGCTTCCTTTCCAACAGATGTCCCTGTTCACGTGGACTGAACTATTTCAGAAAAGGAGAAGAGTGACTCCACGGCCAACAGAGAGATCACAGCAATGAGAATCTGGACTGGACAATATCGATCAATGGGTCTTAATCTTCGTTGAGTTATGGACCCTTTTGGTCAAAGTCTCAGAACGATGTGAAGAAGCCCTGATATAGCAGAGTGAATGTCAAAAAGGAGGGGCTGCGGAGTGCCCTCCCCTGCTCCCAGGCCAGAGTATCGAGGAAGGAGAGAAGGAGCAAGTAAGCAATGGAGAGGGTGTCATGTTATCTGAAGACAGTCCTACATGATAGAAAGAATGTGAAAAGAAGAGATGAAGGAGGCCTGTTAACAGCCTAGGGGATTCCAGAGGGCACAACGGTAAGGAAAGGCAGAGGAAGAAGGGGGACAGGTAATTAATCTACTTCTCAATACCTCTTAGTTATCATAGAGCCTTTCTCAAAGGTAAAGAAATGCTAAGAAATTCTAAACAATTACCACCACGAAATTACGAAATTCAATAGACAGTATCTTTTAAATCACATCATCATCATGGGTGCCATAAAAACTCAGAACCCACTATACAATGATTCCTTCATCTCAGAGAGTGCAAGGGAAGGAAATAAGAATAAATAATAAAAATGCTAATAACAGTAGGTGACATTTACATAGCACTTTATACACATCATTCCACTGAAATCTTCCCCAAGCCCACCACCTGTGAGACAGGCGGTATACTTATTACTAGTGCTACTTTATGGACAAACCACCTTAGGGGACCTACACAGGCCCCAGAAGAGGGCGGATTCAAACCTCGGTCTTCTGGGTCCAAACCCAAGGCCTTTTCCACTAAAGTTTGAGAGGTACAAGACATGTGACACCTTCTTCACTGCACTGACAGTAAGGTCTCTCAGGGTTCAAAGCCCCGCCTGGGGTCACACAATGAACCAGGACAAGGCGCCAGGTCTCCCAAGCCCAGAGTTAGTTGGTTCTGCACGTCAGGCTATTCTGTCCGGCCGTCAGGACAACATACTCACTCAGCCTCTGCAGGAAAGGCTGACAATGCAGCTCGAGTCTGTGGGGGAACTATCCTTTGATCAAGCTGTGCTAGGATTTGAATAACTCACCTCATTAGTCCCACCTTGAGCAGCATATGTGAATGTGCAGGTGTGCCCTCCCTGGAGAACACAAGAGAAAAAAATAAGTCTTGGGAACAGCAGGCAACAGGAAATCCCAAAGAGTTGTTAAATATATCTCCCCTTCTTTTTAGTTTCGGGCTCTGAGCATAAGAGGAAGTCAAATTCGTTTGTTAGGTACTGCTACAGGCAAACGACAATCAATTAACTTATTTATCTACACGAGAACTTAGGGAGAAGAACAAGACGCAGGAGCCCAAAGTGGAAAAGGACCTTAGAAAAATCCTATTTCAGGCTGAAGAATAAATACCCTCTGCAACCTTTCTGACAAGGTCATCCAATATGGGTGCCTCCAGTGACAGGAAACCCACTACCTCCAGAGGCAGAGTATTCATTCTATTTTTGGACAACTCTAGTTATTAGGAGACTTTGTTATGCTGAGCTGAAATCTCCCTCTTTGTCATTTTCAGTCCTCCCTCCTGGCTACTCTAAAATGGCTCCATCGACAACATGCTCATGCTGCCCTTTCCCTGTACTACTCCATCTACAGCCCCGAACACACCATCTACCACCTCTTCAACTGGCACTGTGTATCCTCCTCTTGTATGTTCTCCTGAACCTTGGTCCAGGGACACACAGATCTGAGCGAGGTAAGGGCCCCTGCAATCTGCCATAGTCAGGTCACTCCTGGGGGATCAGGAACAGTTCTGGATGCCATGTTAAAGAGAGATATTGAGAAGGCAGAACCTGTAAGACAGTGCTATTATTCTTATTCTAACAGAAGAAGAAACTGAAACTGAAGCAGAGGAAGATTAAGTGATTTACCAGGATCACACAGTTACTAAGTATCTGAGGCTGGATTCAGAGCCTGGACTTCTTAACTCCAAATCCAGTACTATATTCCCTAGGCCATCTAGCTGTCTAGAAATCACAGTGGCTCCCTATTGACTCTAGGTAAAACACAAACTCCTTTGTGTGGCCTTCAAAGTCCTTCACGATTTGGCTCCTGCTTACCCTCCCAGAAATTTCCCTTTATAGCCTTTCATACACTCTGTGAACTTGCCTACTCGAGGGGGCCTGTCCACAATACTCCACCTCTTTCTTTGGAACAGCTCTCCCTTCTGCTTGGACCCTGCTACTCCTCACCTCAATCTTTTGGAGCCCCTACCTTCCTTTCAGCATTAGCTCAAAGACCCTTTTCCTACGGGATGCCTCTCCCGATCTCTCCCTCTCCCACAAAGAACTTTGCATTGATACATCTGTACATAAAGTGTACTCTCAACAGAATAACAGCTCCTTGAGGGCAGGAACTATTTGCTTCTGCATTCTTAGTGCCAGCGCTGAACACTGCCCATGGTATATGCTTAATAAATGCTTGCTGAATTCAGATGCATGCTGCAGAGGATTCCTGCTTCAAGAATAGAAGAGCCCCTGGGATCTCTCTCCTCCTTACTTGTCCATGGCTCCAGGACTCCCAGGCTACACGGCAGCACACAAATGGATTTGCAGATTTCCACTCAATAGATGAAGACTATTCTAACACTCCAGACCCTTTAATAACATAACCTCCTTTGGGAAGTGGTCATTCCCCTGAATCTCGGCAACGCCTGCAGTCTACTTTTTAAGAATGCCATTGTGGGGTTCTATATGCTTGGGAGTCTAAGAGGCTGGAACAGAATATATCTTCTCCTTCTTCTCAGATGCTGTACCACTTCTGTGGCCCCAGGCTGAGGGCTTCTGGGAAGACGGCTCCCCTAGCCACTTCTGAAAAACCCCAGTGCCCCCTGCACCCAGCACTGGCAAGTGGAGCCCTGGGATGAGCTCCAGTGGCCCTGGACCCCAGGCTTGGGAACGTCTCCCCTGTGCTCCCTTTCCTTCATCCTAGAGCACCTCGTCCTCTTATTAAAACAAGTTATTTAACACTTGCTACAAGCGGGGCTCTGGGCTAGGCAAGGGGTCCAGCAGTCCTCATCCTCATGGAATTCACAGTTCACAGCCATTTTTTATTTCACTTAATCTTTACAATCGTGTGAGGGGAGGTAGGCATTGGTCATCATCTACTTTTTACAGCAGAATGAATCAAGCAGCAAATACCTGTTAAGCATCTACTATGTCCTAGGCTCTGGGCTGAGTGTTGGGACCACAAAGACAAAATTTAAATAGTCTCTGTCCTCAAGGAGTTTGCATACTAATAGGAGAGACCACCTGTACGCACAGAAGTGTACGCAAAATACAGACAAAAGGAACACGAGTCACTTTGGAGAGGGCACTGACAGCTGGGGGTGAGTCAGGAAAGGTTACAGATTCGAGGTGGTGCTTGAGCAGTCTTGAAAAAATCGGATCTCAAGAGGCAGAGGTGAGAAGTGAGGTGTATTCTGGGTCTGGTAGACAGCTTGTCTAGCACAAAGGCTCACAGATGTGAGACTCCACAGAGTCATGGAGAGGATGAGCAACAGCTAAGAAGTCTGCAAGGGTAGGAAGTGGCCAGGGTGTGAAAAACTCTGCATGTCATATGGAGAAGGCCGCATGTGAACCTGGAAGGGATGGGGGTCCACTGGAGTGTATCCAGTGAGTGAGTGAGTGTGTGTGTGTGTGTGTGTGTATATGAGAGAGAGAGAGAGAGAAACAGACAGATTTGAAAGAGACACATTTTATAGAGAAAGAAACAGATTTTACAAAATATACATATATAGAGAGAAAGACAGACAGACACATGGTCAGACCTTTGCTTTGGAAAGATTCCTTTGACAGCTGTGTGGAGGATGGAGAAGAGATTTGAGGAAGGAAGGGAGACCAAGAAGAGATTACTGAAATAGTCCAGGCAAGAGGTGCTGAGGCCTAAGCTAAAGTGAGGCTGTATGACAGAAAAAAGGAACTAACCACAAATGATGCTTTGAAAACATAGGAAACTGAGCCTCACTGAGGTGAAAGGACATATCTAGCCAGGGCAGGGCCAGGACTAGCCTGATTTTTCATCTCCCCCAGCTCAGACATGTATGTTACTGCACATATAGTGATACACTTACTGATTGTTCAGTTTTAACCGGAACTCCCAGCCCAACGTTCTTTCTACCAGACTACTATCTTAAGCACTTATCATACTTGACTATACTATATTTGCACGTTTTATCTTCTCTACCAGACCATGTCATGTGGATAGGGGCCAAAATTCAATCTTCTCAGGGTCTCCCTCCATGCCAAGCAGAGTCTAATGTGTGTACCTGTTAAGTTAATCTCCCACTTAATCTAGCGCTTGTCCATCCTTGCTATTTCTTTAAGAAGATACTCCTTCCAATCACTTCATCTCCCCACTCCAGTCTTTTCACTAGCTAGGTGGCTCAGTGGATAGAGCGCTGGACCTAGAGTCAGGAAGACCTGAGCTCAAATCTGGCCTCAGCTGTGTGACCCTGGGCAAGTCATTTAACCCTGTCTGCCTCAGTGTCCTCATCTATAAAATGAGCTCAAGAAGAAAATCACAAACTGCTCCAGTAATAACCCCAGGGGTTGTTGGACATGACTGAAAGACCCCCCTCTTACCAGGTGGGCTCTCCCTCCTGTCTTTCCTGACTTCCTGCAAGTGCCAGACATAATCTCGTGTTCTACAAGAAGCCTTCCCCAACTCTTCTTAATTCCACTGCCTTTCCCAAGTTGATTACTGCCTGTCTTGTCCCCAGCCTGTTTGCACATAGTTGTTTGCATGTTTGCTCCTCCATTAGACTGTAAGCTCCTTGAAGGCAGGGGCTGCCCCTTGCCTCTTTTGGTATCCTCAGCTCTTAATAAATGCTGAATGACGGGTGGAAAGGACCTCGGAACAGATATCAGAAGTGGGGGGCCCTTCGGTCACATGTTCGAGTCCCGCCAGAGGCTGGGGCTGCTCAGCCAACCCCGATCACGGGGACCCTGGATCATCGGGGGGCCGGGATTTGTTGGGCTCCTGCTGGGCAGACTGTCACAGGAGGGGGTTGGGGCGCCCCCAGGCCGACCCCCTCCCGGCGCACAGCGGGGGACCGCCGGGGCGCCCCTCCCCCGCAGGCCCGGCGCTCGCGCTCCCCCGTCCCGCGTCCCCGCCTCGCCTCCAAACGGGCGTCGCTCTCTTGGGGGGCCTGGGAGGGCGAAGGGTCCGCTCCCTGCAGCCGCCCCGGCCCCAGCCCGGCCCCGGGCCCCCCGTACCGCCTGCCCGTGGCTCTGCGAGAAGGAGTGCACCACCCCGCCGGGACGCACGTCAAAGTCTACGGCGCGGTCACCGTCGCTGCCGCCCGCCGCCGCTGCCGCCGCTGCCAGGAGCAGGAGGAGTGAGGCCCAGGGGCGTAGGCCGGGAGCGCCGCTGCTACTTCGGCCGTTGGGCGCCGCCATTCGGGCCGGAGGCTGGGAGGGAAGGGAACGCAGACGGGGTGCCGAAAGGGACACGTTAGGCAGGCCGCGGGGCGGGCGGGGGAGAGAGAGCGCCACGTCAGAGCTCGAGGTGGCCACGTGACCAACCCCCCCACACACCCCGCCGCCGCCGGCCGCCATCTTGGGCATGAAGGAAATGATCTTAAGGTAGGGCCCTCAGAGCGTGCTCCTACTCCAGGCCTGCCCCGCCATTAGAATTGGGGGCCCCTCAGGGTTGTAACGGGGTGGCTTTGTCCTGTGAGGCGCTCCTTTCAATCTGCCCTTGACCCCAATGAGAAAGAAGTGGACGCGGACCCAGTACCGGAAAAGCCCCGCCCACAGATGGCGCTTCTGTTCATTCCATTCCCTTCCGTGCTGTTACGTCACGCTCCATGCCCTTACATCACAGTCCTCTGCAGTTTCGTGTAGCGTCGAACCTGGCACCCGAGAGAACACCTAGTCAAGTCGGGGGCATAATTGGGATTCCTTCATTAAGTGCTTTCTATATGCAAACCCCCTTTCCGGGCCATAACGTTATCAGCGCTCTCTCCTGGAATTACTTTGTATTACATCATAGATCTTTGCGTTTGCTTCCTTGTGTGCACGTTGAATTTGCAATCAGAAGAGAAAAGTTCAAACTACTGTTTACAGCCTTTGTTGTCTTGGACTCGTCATGGGCACACTGGATCTGTTTCCTCATTTGCTCTAAAATGAGGGGTTGGGAATAGACGACTTTTTTGTGTGTTCAAAGTGTTTTATTTTTTCCAATTACATGTACGGTTTTTAATGTTGATATTTTTATAAGATTTTTGGGTTTCAAATTTTTTCTCTCTCCTTCCACTTTTCCCTCCCCAAGATGGCAAGCCAGCTGATATAGGTTATACATGTGCAATCACGTAAGCATATTTCCACATTAGTCATTTTGTGAAAGAAGAAACAGAACAAAAGGGAAAAGCCACAAAAAAAACCCAAAAATAAGTGCAAATAGTGCTTCGATCTGCATTCAGACTCCATAGTTCTTTCTCTGGACGTGGATAGCATTTTCCATCATGAGTCTTTTGCAATTGGAACAGACAATTTAAGGTCTCTTGGGGCTCTAAAGCCATGTGTCCTCGAAGTAGGAAGTTCATTTTTGTCGCTGTTTCCCCAACAACCAAGCACAGTGTCTTCGACATATTACATGCTTAATCAAATAGTGTTAAATTGAATTGAAATGCAGGAGGACATAGAACACAGAGCCTGCTCTCCAGAAGCTTACAATGAATTGGAGCCATTGCCCAACTGACAAATGATCAAAGGATGTGAATAAGCAGTTTTCAAGGGAAGAAACCCAAACTATATATAACCATGTGAAAAAAATGTTCCAAATCACTGTCATTGTTCAGTTGTTTCAGATTCTTTGTGACCCCATTTGGGTTTGAGGTTTTCTTGGCAAAGATACTGGAGTGATTTGCCATTTCCTTCTCCAGCTCATTTTTGCGGATGAGGAAAGTGAGGCAAACAAGGTTAAGTGACTCGCCCAGGGTCATACACTTAATAAGTTCTGAGGTCAGATTTGAACTCAGGAAGATGAATCCCAGATGAGGCCCAGCCCTGTCCACTTTACCACCTAGCTGCCTCCACAAATAATTAGAGAAATGCAAATTAAAGTAACTCTTTTTTTAAAAATTTTTATTAATTTATTTTGATTTATCAACAATCACTCCTATATGCTTTTGAGTTGAAAATTTTTCTCCCCCTTCCTCCCCCCCACCCTCCCCAAGACGCGCACAATCTGATATAGGCTTTACATTTACATACCCATTAAACATATTTTCACATTAGTGAAGTTGTAAGTAAAAATTAAAACCAATAGGAGGAACCATCAGAAAGAAGGTAAAAGTAAGTGAGAGCGATTGGACTTCCATAGTTCTTTCTTTGGATGTGGACAGCATTTTCCATCCCAAGGCCTCTGGAGATGTCTTAGATCCTCATAATGCTGAGAAGGGTTCAGTTTAACAATATTGGTCATTGCATAACGTGTCTGTTATTGTGTACAAAGTCCTCTTGGTTCTACTCACTTCACTCAGCATCAGACCATATAAGTCTTTCCAGGTTTTTCTGAAGTCAGCCTGTTCATCATTTCTTATAGCACAATAGTATTCCATTACATTCATATACCACAACTTGCTCAGCCATTCCCCAATTGATGGGCATCCTCTCAATTTCCAATTCTTTGCCACCACAAAAAGAGCTGCTATGAATATTTTTGTACATGTGTGTCCTTTTCCCATTTGTTTGATCTCTTTGGGATATAGCCCTAGAAGTGCTATTGCTGGATCAAAGGGTATGCACATTTTTGTAGCCCTTTGGGCATAGTTCCAAATTGTTCTCCAAAATGGTTGGATCATTTCACAACTCCACCAACAATGTATTAGTGTTCCAATTTTCCCACATCTTCTCCAACATTTATCATTTTCCTGTTTTGTCATGTTGGCCAATCTGATAGGTGTGATGTGGTACCTCAGAGTTGTTTTGATTTGCATTTCTCGAATCAATAACGATTTAGAGCGTTTTTTCATATAACTATAGATGGCTTTAATTTCTTCATCTGAGAACTGCCTGTTCCTATCCTTTCACCATTTATCAATGGGGGAATGGCTTGTGTTCTTATAAATTTGTCTTAATTCTCTGTATATTTTAGAAATGAGGCCCCTTATCAGAGAGACTGGTTGTAAAAATTCTTTCCCAATTTTCTACCTTAAAGTAACTCTTAAGATTCCACCTCAAATTCATCCTATTTGCAAAGCTGATTTAAATAAAGAAATAAATATGACATAATGTGATATATTGGTTGGAGGGGCTCAAGAAAACAATCATATTGATGCAGGATTGGTGTAGCTGTAAGTTCAGGGGTAGGGAACATGTAGCCTTCTAGGTCCTTGGGTGCAGCCTTTTGACTGAATCCAAGTTTTACTGTACAAATCTTTTTATTAAGGGAATTTGTTCTGTGAAGCTTGGATTCAATCAAAGGGCTGCACTTGAGGGCCTAGAAGGCCACATGTGGCTTCCAGGCTGCAGGCTCCTCACCCCTGCTTCAGCTATTCTGGTTTGTTTGTTTGTTTTTTCATAAGGCAATTTGAGTTAAGTGACTTGCCCAGAGTCACACAGCTAGTGAGTGTTATGTGTCTGAGGCCAGATTTCAACTCAAGTCCTCCTGACTCCAGGGCTGGTGCTTCAGCTATTCTGGAAAGTAATTTTATACAGCCAGTAAGTATCTGAGGTAGGATTCAAACTTAGTCCTGCCTGGCTCCCAAGTCCAACATTCTACCCCCTGTAACTAGTTGCTGCCTTAGCTGTACAGAAGATAGACTGGGGACAGGGAGGCTTGTTAGGGGGCTGTTGGAAGATTACCTCCAAACTGGAGGTAATAAGGGCATCAACTAGGTGGTATCCACGTGAGGAAAGGGAAGGGAATGGATGCAAGAAATACTGTGGTGGTAAAATCTACAGGATTTGACAAACCAGTTGGACCTGGAGAATCAAAGGAAGAAACAGCACAGATAACCGGGGTGAAATTGGGAAGACGGAGAGTCCAGAAGAGAAGGTGGGTTTAGGGAAAAGGTGCTAAGTTCCACTTTGGACATCACAACGATAGGGGTGCATATGGGATGAGATCAGGTGTGCATATGCAGGGGCTTGCCCTGAAAAGGAAGAGGGGCACCTCTTCACATGCTTGAAGAAAGCATCTGATTCCAGATGAGGAGGATGGGAGAAGAGAGAGCTCATGAGAATGGCCTTATTTTTTTTTTTTGGTGAAGTATAAGAACTCCCCAGCTGAGGGGGTGGCTCCAGGGGGTACCTTGAAGGCTTGAGGAAGAATGAAATGGGGGATATTAAACTGATTGGGGAAGTGTGAAAGGATTGCCTTGCCACTCTGAGGACCCCAGGTGAGGTTCTGGAACATGAATTTGTATGGACTCAGAATAATGTAACGATTTTCTATAGCTCCATTCCCCAGCACAGGAACAGGAGCAAAGGTGGAGGACCGTGGGAGTAACCTACAATCGAGGCTTAGCGCAGTCAGTGAAAGGACAAGGGACAGGATGTAGAGATGTGATTTGAAGGGGCAGAAAGGAAACAGCATTTAAGTGTTTCTTATGTGCCAGGCACTGTGCTAAGCGCTTTACAAATATTCCATTTGATCTTCGAGACAACCCCAGAGGACAGATGCTACTAGTGTCATCCTCATTTTATAGTTGAGGGAACAGAGGCAGCCATCTGTTAAGTGACTTGCCCGGAGTCACAGCTAGTTAAATGTCTGAGGCTGGATTTGAACTCTGGTCTGCCAGACTCCAGGCCTTGTGCTCTATCCACTGCAACACCTAGCTGATTATCCTCTGATGACAGTGATTGGTTTTTGTTTTCATATTCTCAGTGCAAAGGAAACACTTAATGTGTTTGTTTAATTAAGGGGAGTCAGCAAAGGTAGATTAGTTTTTCTAGTCTGGTCACTGAAGGGGAAGAGAGAGATAAGGCTTTATAGAATGAGGTGATAGCAGGGCCTAGGGAAGGTTTGTTTGGTTTTGTGTGTGTGTGTGTGTGTGTGTGTGTGTTTTTAATTTAGGGAAGGGAAGACGTGAACCTATTTGTAGACGAAAGGAAGGGAACCACTGGACAAGGAGAGATTGGGAAAAAGGGGGGAAGGGGATTAACCAGGGGAAAGGCCTGGGAGGAGATGGGAATGGGACCAATTCCATTGAATTCCACCAATAAAGTTTCTGTGCTAGACACCTGGAGCACAAAGGCAAAGATGAAAGCGTCCTCCAAGCCCTCTAAGAGCTTATATTTTACTGGATCAAGGGTACAAATGGGGGGAGGGGGGAACTTAGGCAAGAACGAGGAAGGGGGGGCCTTAGGAAAGATTAGGATGACTAAGGTTGGGATGGCTTCACTTCCTCAGTCAATGAAGGGGAAGAAAGTAGAGTTGGGGGCTTGAGAGAGATTTGGAGCAACTGCTATAGGTAGCGAGACAGGGACTCTCTAAGAGGTGAATAAGAGGATCACCATTTTAACAAAGCGCTTTCTTCATGATCATCACACAAAGTGCTCTCCAAATAGGGTAGGAATCCAGATGTTCTGGCCCAAGAGTCATAAAGGGCAGGATTTCTCATCTCTTCCCTCTTAGAAGGCCCTTCCCTTCCCTACCTACCCCTTAATCTTCAGATCTGTTAATGAAACCTTTTTTCCGCCTCTTCCCTCTCCTTCCTCCTCTCGCCCCACCATCCCTCATACACTTGCATGCAGGGGGACTTTCTGAACCAGAAATGGAGGCCAGGTCTGACAAAGGACATTCATTTTGCAAAGCCTTTTAAAACGTCCACTTTCTTTTCTGGACAACAGGACTGTCCTGGTAAAGCCAGCATGTGTACTCAGCAGAGAGCCGTGTCCCACTCGCTTAGTGTTAGCCGTAAGTGGCCTTGTGATCTGGTCCTGGGTTTGAATTCTGGCTCTGCCTCTCAGGAGCTGTGTGGAGTAAGTTACTTCATCTTTG